ATCCTCTGAAGAATTGAGGGTTCTTTTTCCTCTCTTTTTCAGTTTTCCAGGTATCCTCTTCCCACTCTTCCAATTCCTGGAAGGAAGGAAGTTTCCCACCATCATGGTCTAGCTTCCTCCGCTGATGCCGGGTATGCGGAGGAGTTCGATCACGAGGTGGCGGCATATTTTGTGCCCTCATTGCCTCCATGAGCACTGCCAGCGCTCTTGCCACCTCCTCCGAGCTGGGCCCCGTCAAAGGGGTCCTCGGCTGAGTGTGGAAATGAGAGCGCACAGTCGATGGTTGACTTTGGGGCACTGAATGTGTCCTATGATCGGACTGACCCCTGCTAGACCGAGAGTGACTCGGCCTATGATGAGAGTTATGAATTACGGGAGAAAGGGAATCCTCCCTGTATGATCCTCCCCCTGAGCTGGCACCCTTGGGAGAGTTCCGGTCCGGCGAGGGTGATGGTGTAGGGGTTTTAGGCTTTTCGCCTGCTCCTTGACGGAGGCTTTTGCTCTTGCGGTTCTTAGCCATTGCTACTAAGATAATTACAAGATGATTTTGGTTAGAAACTTGGCTTAAAGATTTTTGAAAGTCTTCCCCACAGACGGCGCCAAATTGTTTCGGGTGAAAACAATGGGACCTTGTCGAAGGTCCGATGAAGTGGAGAAGACTGGATTCGGTCCAAGTGATGTTGGGCCGAAGGTTTCCTGCACAGTAAACACACGTAAACTAGCCTCGAGGGTGTTGCCGAGGAAGGCCCCTCCGATGCTAAAGTCTGTACAGTGTGTAGAAAGAGAACACTATGCAAGAGAATTAATTGCTTGAGGCTTTGTTGAATGAATGTACAAATGTAATATTGATGGCTTTTATACCTTTGCATATATGGAGAAGTTGGGCCTTAGCCCAATTGGCTTGGCTTGAGGACTGATCTTTGACTTTAGCACAATTGGAGAGTTGAACCTTGACCTTGGGCTTTTAATTGGATCATTTAATGACTAGGCCCAATTGGACTAAATTGGACCCAAACAGACTTATTGATAGGTTTGTTATTATTCCAAATCAATTATTATGACCCTATAAGACACCAAACATATCCACTCCTAATTTGAAAAATATTCTCAAATTTGGTCCAAAAATATGGATTATAACCTTTAGTTTTGTAGATAGAAAATTTCGAGCTTTCTTATTCTAAATAGAAAGAGTGCTGAATGCTTCCGTGGATTCCACGAGGTTATTTAAGTATTTGGAATCGTTCATTTTATCTTTTAGCTATCATTTTAAACACTTACAAACTCACCTCCCGTCATTAACAAACTTAGTAATTTATCTAACTGATTTAGGGGGAATATATAATTCTAAACAACATTATATGATCTCATGATGCACCTCCTAGGCTCCCACCAGTCCACCATCACATTTGAATTTTGGTTTTCTTATTTTTTGGACTTTTGAAGGAAAGGATACAAGATTTTTTTTTTTAATTTTTTTATGTACCTCACATCAGTCACATGACTTAGGGTGGCCACTGGCCACATGAATACTTGAAATCATCCACTTAGCCTTTTAACTAGAGCTGTCAATTTAGGTAAACGGGTCGGGTAAGAATGGGTCGGGTCAACTCGAGCTGGGTCAATTCAGATTAATTCCATAACCTATTCGGGTCGGGTTTGGGTTGGATCGTGCTTAAGTTAGGTCACATCGGTTACTTCTTATCGGGTTTGGGTCGGGTTTAGGTTGGATTAATAACAGTTCGGGTTACATTCACGTCGGGTGAACAATAGGTCGGGTTTAATTCGGGTTAAAACGGTTTAGGGTAATTCTCGGGTTCGATTCAGGTTCGGTTCAAATCAATAATTTGCGGGTTAGAATCAGGTCGGGTCATTCTCAGGTTTGAGTCAGGTTCGGTTCAAGTCAATAATTTGCATATTATAATCAGGTCGGGTCATTTTCAAGTCGGGTCATTCTCGGGTTCAAGTCGGGTTCGGTTCAAGTCAATAATTTGCGGGTTATAATCAGGTTGGGTCATTTCCAATTCGGGTCATTCTCGGATTCAGATCAAGTCGGGTTATGTTCAAGTCAATAATTTATAGGTTACAATCAAGTCGGATCATTTCCAAGTCAGGTCATATTCGGGTCCAATTAACTATAAATAGATAATTATCATTTTTATCAAGCTAATTATTTCCTTTGACTATATAATATATATATGGCAATATACTAGGGAACTATAGTCTATAATTTAGGAAGATAATTATTATCTCCTTTGACCATAAAACAAATATATACTATATTTAACTCTTAAATTTGAGGATGATGCTACTTTCTTTTGCTGGCCTGGACCGACTTGTTCTCCCAAGACAAAATGATTTGATCAACAATAATATAAGGTGGTCTAAATTGCATTTAAGGAGATTTGAAATCGGGTTAGGAACAATTTGGGTTGAATTTAGGTCAGGTCAATAACAAGTCGTGTTAATTTTGAGTCGAGTTAGTAACAGATTGGGTTGAATTTTTGGGTTGGGTAAGTAATAGGTAAGGTAAAATTCAGGTCGGGTCAATAACAAGTCGGGTTAAATTTAGGTTTGGTCAATAACAAATCGGGTTAATTTCGGGTCTGGTTTGTAACAGGTTGGGTTAAATACGGGGCGGGTCAGGAATGGGTCAGGTTGAATTCAGGTCAGGTTAGTAACAAGTCAGGTTAAATCTGGGTTTAGACGGGTTAAAACGGGTTTAGGTCAATTTCGGTTCAAGTCGGGTTTGGTGCAAGTTAATTAAATTGACCGTTGTAAAGCGGTAAATTGGTGCAAGTTGTAAACCGGTAAATTAGCCGTTTAAAAGCATATTGAATGGTTCCACACATCCAATTGGACTCCCAGAGGGTATTAGGGACCATAGTAAAAATTTCAACAGTTTTTATTTTCAGGCGAAAAAAAGTCAAAAAATTCCAAAATTGAAGGCTATATCCACGTTTTTTTGAGAAATTTTGGAGGTTTCAGGGCCCTTGTCGAAAAAGTCTTGAAATTCTATGGGATACATCTCGGGGTCATATAATGCCGTTAGGAACCATATATGATCATTATTTGTTGTCATAAATGTTCATGGTAGGCTTGAATTAATGAAATCGGTGCAAGTTGTAAACAAGTAAGTTGGTCATGTAAATACAAATTGGATGATTCTACCCACCCAATTAGACTCCCGGAGGGTATTAAGGACCATGGTAAACATTTCGGCAATTTTTATTTTCGGGCGAAAAAAAAATCAAAAAATTTCAAAATAGAAAGCTAATATCCACACTTTTTGAGAAATTTTGGAGGTTTCGGGGTCCGGTGTAAAAAAGTATTAATATTTTAGGGGATACATCTCGGGGTTATATAATGCCGTTTGGGACCATATATGATCATTATATGTTGTCATAAATGTTCGTAGTAGGTTTGAGTTAATGACCAAATCCGTGCAAGTTGTAAACCGATATTTAAATTGGACATTTAAAGGCAAATTGGATGGTTCCACCAACCCAATTGAACTCCCGTAGGTATTAGGGACCATGGTAAACATTTTGGCAATTTTTATTTCCGAGCGAAAAAAGTCAAAAAAAATCCAAAATTGAAGACTAATATCCATGTTTTTGAGAAATTTTGGAGGTTTTGGGACCCGGTGTCGAAAAGTCTTGAAATTTTAGGGGATACATCTCGGGGTCATATAATGATGTTTAGAACCATATATGATCATTATTTGTTGTCATAAATGTTCGTGGTAGGCTTGAGTTAATGAAATCGGTGCAAGTTGTAAACCGGTAAATTGGTCATTTAAAGGCAAATTGGATGGTTCCACCCATCCAATGGGACTCCCGAATGGTATTAGGGACCATGGTAAACATTTCGACAATTTTTATTCCCGGGCGAAAAAAAGTCAAAAATTTCAAAATTGAAGGCTAATATCCACGCTTTTTAAGAAATTTTGGAGGATACGGGGCCCGGTGTCGAAAAGTCTTTAAATTTTAGGGTATACATCTCGGGGTCATTTAATGTCGTTTGGAACCATATATGATCATTTTTTGTTGTCATAAATGTTCATGGTAGGCTTGAGTTAATGAAATCAATACAAGTTATAAACCGATAAATAGGGCGTTTAAAGGCAAATTGGATGGTTCTACCCACCATATTGGACTCGCGAAGGGTATTATGGATCATGGTAAACATTTCAGCAATTATTATTTCCGGGCGAAAAAAGTCTAAAAATTCCAAAATTAAAGGCTTATATCCACGCGTTTTGAGAAATTTTGGAGGTTTTGGGGCTTGGTATCGAAAAGCCTTGAGATTCTAGACAATACATTTCGAGGTTATATAATGTCGTTCGAAACCATATATCACCACTATTTGTCGTCATAAATGTTCGTGGTAGGCTTGAGTTAATAAAATCGGTGCAAGTTGTAAACCGGTAAATTGGTCGTTTAAAGGAAAATTGGATGGTTCACCCACCCAATTGGACTACCGGAGGGTATTACGGACCATGGTAAACAATTCGGCAATTTTTATTTTCTGGCGGAAAAAAGTCAAAAATTTCCAAAAATTGAAGGCTAATGTCCACGATTTTTGAGAAATTTTGGAGGTTTCGGGGCTCGATGTCGCTAAGTCTTGATAAATTAGGGAACACATCTGGGAGTCATATAATGCCGTTTGGAACCATATATGATCATTATATGTTGTCATAGATGTTAGTGGTAGACTTCAATTAATGAAATCGGTGCAATTTGTAAACCTGTAAATTGGATGGTTCTACCCACCCAATTGGATTGCCGGAGGGTATTAGGGACCATGGTAAATATTTCGGCAATTTTTATTTTCGAGCGAAAAAAAGTCAAAAAAATTTTAAAATTGAAGGCTAAAATCCATGCTTTTTGAGATATTTTGGAGGTTTGGAGTCCCGGTGTCGAAAAGCCTTGAAATTTTAGGGGATACATCTCGTGGTCCTATAATGCCGTTTGGAACCATATAATAATCCCGGTAAGGTCCTAAACAAAACACGATCCAAAAAAACAAATCGGAATTTAATTTTATCAGCACTCTTTCCCTACTAGCAGCGCTCATTTCCGTGTTCCCATCGACCACCACGTTGTCATTGGCGTTTTCTCTGTTTCTTTATCATCTCGTCCTCTTATCTCTCTCACTATTCCACCTTAACTACCTTCTCTAACTTCCTTCTTCTTCTTCTTCATCAATGGCGCCAATCCAACTACTCGAATCCCTAATTTCACTTTAATTCCTTTCAATTTCCCCAAAAATCAACCATGTTTTCTGCAAATCTAAGCACATCTCCTTCCTTAATCACTCCCAAAACTTCTACTTCTACTTCAATTTCAAAACCCTACTTTCTCTCTCCTCGTTCTCTCACAATCCAATCACGTGCCCCCGATTTCTCTGCTGCTTCTTCTTCGTCTTCTTCTCCTGATTGGTTTCAATTTCCCGACATTTCTGGACCTCGGATTCCCCGAGAAAACGACGCCGTTTCAGGGGGTAACAGCAGCAGCAGAGATAGCGATGATTCTATGTTGAATGGGAAGAGAGAGAAGAAATGGTCGAGAAATAGAGAGAGTTATCTAAGGGATGATTCTGAGCCTCTTCCTCTTCCTATGACTTTTTCCGATATTACCCCTACTTCTCTTGAGGAAATCGATCGTCGTCTTCGTTGTGATCCTCAACTTGAGGTAGATTCTTGATTAATTCAAAAAAATATCTCATTTTTAGTAAATTAATTACTGTCAATTGTATGAACATTTGGGTTTGGAGGTAAAGATTTGATATTTTGATAGTGACATTGATATTTTACTTTTGGGATATTTTATAGGATAAAATTGATATTTTTCTATGAATTGATTGTTTATTTAAGACTCTATGAGAGTGCGAGAAAGGGCAATGACGTAGACGGAATTTATCTCGTGTCTTGAATACAACCCATTCTATACTTTACTAACTAGGGTAGCTAACATCCTACACATGATGAATTAATTGAAGACTTCAACATTAATATGATTGAATACCAACTAGGCTAGCTAACTTATAATTTGAATTCGAGATGAAGTGTTTAGTTGATTTTCTTGATATTTTTTAGGGTCCCTCCTATACATGTAATTTGTTAAGGCATGATTGTAGATTTGTAGTGCACCTAATATGATTTAGTGGGGGCATTTGGAGCCTTGGTGGATATTAATGTGACATTGTAACTTGGCATTTGTACACTCTATGATTTTGATCATTGTTAGATGGAGTTAATAGATATGGTGTATTGATGGAATACGTGTTGATTACCGAAGGTACGTGTGGAAATGATGTATGGGAAGATAATGGGATTAGTTTTGTAAATATGTTATATTGTGACAAAAGCTAATTTTGGTCTTTCTATGTATTTTATTGGAAGATATAGCAAGCATTGTTATTTGGAATTGAATTGCAAATTGTTAGCCTCATGAACAAGCGAATTTGGAGTTTTCCCTCTTGTATGTTCTCTGGTCTAATTCTTGTTTTGGGGACTTTAGGATTGTAAAGTGCCTGTTTTTGAGTGGGTGGGGAAGTGTCGAAGTTGCCAAGGATCAGGGTATGTCAACTACTACAACAAACGAGGGAAGACTACTTGCAAATGCATACCATGTATGGGAGTTGGTAAGATTCTGGAATTGTTCTGTCTTTTAGCTTAATAATTCTGAAAAGTTATTCTTTCCGAGGGAAGTTTATTCATAGCAATATGTATGAATTTCTATTCACCAAGTTTTATGAGATGGATGAGTGGCAATGTTCCTAGATATGGATTAATTAATAAAATATAAACAATGTATGTTTGGCTTTTGTATGTGGCCTCTCTTGATAGGCTAAGAATAGTAACGAAACAGGAGCTTTTCTTTGAAGACCAAAGTTTCATAGCTAGAAAAGTGTATTGACTGTATACAGATAAAAGGATATACATAAGTTTGAAGTTTTTCTTGTCCCTAACAAATTATGAAGAACTGTATGTCATGCAATGCTTTTTAAGATATATTTTCATAACTGTGTATCTGAATAGCTTTAAATGAGACTGCTTACTTTTGACCTAGGAAGTATAGAAACTTCTGGGGTATAAGGTTTCCTATTCCCAAAAGCTCATTTGTTTCCGTGCTGATGAAGTCCAAATTGGCTGAGAGCTTGGGACTTAAGGTTTTCTAGTTTCTGAATGTTTTCATATCTGTGCTACATAGATCTTTATAAATTGTTTATATTCATTTTTGCATTCTGTGACAAGTAGTCAAATGCGAAGATTTGTGTTTAACATAATTGTAATATGACTACTTCACTGCAGAAATCCTACGGTCATTCCTTTTAGTTCCTATTATTATCTTCATTCTTCCTCTTCACAATGCCACCACAATTCCAATCCCTTCTCAATTCCCTCTGGGACTATCATTGGCACTTTACAGGTTGTCCATCCTCCACCCAGGTGTAAGGTGTAATTTACTAATTTTTACACTTGGGTGTTGGATGGAATTTGTGGTGGCATTGAGAGTTTCTGGCATCTTAAATTTGTCATTGGGTAATACATAGGTTATAGCTTCTCTCTGTATCATCTCTTCTAATTTCGTATAACTTGGTTTGCTATCATCTTCTGTTACTGGTGTATAGTTGAACACGTGTATTGCTTTAGTGGAAGGTAAATATACGTCTTGTAACTCATTCTGTATATCAATTCTTGGCTGCAGGATATGTTCAAAAGATATCAGCCCGGAAGGAGTTTGAATCGATGGAGGATTAAAAGCCACCTTGATCTCAGTAGAAACTTGTTAGTTCTTCTAGCTTCAATGTGTATGTACATTCAATATTATTCTGATGAGATATGTTCCCATACCCTTACTTATCAGAACAGATTTACAGAAAAAAAGAACTTTTATGAATTTTGTTATGGAATCAATCATGAAAATTTTCTAGCATCTGATCTTACTATTCTGGAAATATTAATTATATTTGTTCATAATCTTTTAATTGGAATGCAACCTGGGATAAAACACATATATGACCTCATGCAACTCACACCTACAGGATTATGTACTCTTCATTTTGAATAGAAGTATATTTTATTGTCATTCCTGTTAATTATTCTTTGTAAGCAAACAGAATGTAAGTAGCGATTTCATTGAATTTGCCTTTGAAGAGATGGTCACAAATGCCTGTTATTGTCATTTCTACAGCTCTTCCTCTTGCTGTTTACTCAGTCTTCAGTTTGTATTGCTGGATTGTTCTTTGATGCGTTCATAATTCAACCCTATGTGACATTGGAGACTAAAGCTGAAACAAAATCAGTATATACTATATAGCTGCTTTCAAAGGCTGATTGATGGTTGAGATTTTTTGTGTTTATGTTGATCCACAATTACATATACATTTACCTCTTCAACATGTCCGTTCTTTCTTTTCCCCTTTTGGGAGAAAGTAACTGGTAATTCAAGGAAGCAGTATTTTGGCGGTCTCATCTAGTCATCTCTAGACCAGGGTGTGGTTTGGGAAAGTCTATACGAATTTCACTATGTTATAATGTTATGTACTTGTTACACTTCATTTATCAAGAAGATTGACACTTTGACTTGTATACAAATGGCCAATTCCATTGTAATAGTTGCTGCTGCAGGTGCTGCTGTTGTCTCCATGATGTCACTGATATTGCTGCTACTTCTGCCACGACCATTTGCTCTATCTGTAATGTTTCATCTGATAGTAATATGACTTATATGAGTAGTAGCAGGTTTTGAAAGGTAGTACCTTTGATTTTTTGAAGGCCTGAAGGCAACAAGAGAGTGTTGAAAGACTCTTTTGGATAATTACCTTGAGAATGTTGAGCATAATATCCCAAGCCTTAATCTAATGTGTGCATGTTTTTTTTTTTTTTTTTTTTTTTTTTTTTTTTTTTTTTTTGAAGAATAATGTGTGCGTGTTTCTTTAGTCTTCTTTTATTTTTAACTTTTATTTTTCGTTAAAATAGGGGTTTTTTAATTAATTAATTAAGTGGCGTGGAGTCAAATGTTTAAAATGTAAGATTAGATAATTGTAAATGTTAATCTCAGAGACTCAGAGATTAACCACAATAGATAATACTTATGAAGTACTTCGTATAAGTTTCTTAAAGACGTTCTTCAATTACAATTTGTGAAGATTACAATACAAACAGAATTTACTCTCAAAACCTAATTGATAAGTATATACCAAATAATATACTCATAGTCGATCTGACGATGTTGTTTTACTTTTGAACTTTTTTTATGCGTTTAAAAGATTAATGTTCAAATAATACAGTGAAAATCTTTGTAAAAACACAAACAAGGACTTCTTTGTAGTCAAAGAGGTAGCAAGACTTTGCCAATAGCGTTGGGCACGGGCTGGGTTGATAGGTGTAGTGGTCTAGCAAGTTGAGCCTAGAAATCTAGAATGCTTCAAAGCAAAGTTGTGAATTTAGAGCTATCAATTCGGGTAAACGTGTTGGGTTTGGGTCAGGTAAGGGTGGGTCGGGTCAACTTAGATCAGGTCAATGTTTGAGTCGGGTCATACTTCTTATCGGGTTTAGGTCGGGTTAATAACAGGTCGGGTTTCACTCGAGTCGGGTGAACAATAGGTCTGGTTTGATTCGGGTTTTCACGGGTTAAAACAGATTAGGGTAATTTTCGTGTTTCAGTCGGGTTCGGTTCAAGTCAATAATTTGTAGGTTAGAATCAGGTCAGGTCATTCTCGGGTTTGAGTCGGGTTCGGTCCAAGTCAGTAATTTGCGGATTATAATCAGGTATGGTCATTTTCAAGTCGGGTCATTCTCGAGTTCAAGTTGGGTTCGGATCAAGTCAATAATTTGGGTCACACCCAATTGGACTCCCGGAGGGTATTAGAGACCATGGTAAACATTTCGACAACTTTTATTTTCGGGTGAAAAAAAAGTAAAAAAGTTCCAAAATTGAAGGCTAATATACACGATTTTTGAGAAATTTTGGAGGTTTCGGAGCCCGGTGTCGAAAAGTCTTGAAATTCTATGGGATACATCTCGGGGTCATGTAACGCCGTTTGGAACCATATATAAATATATAATCATTATTTGTTGTCATGAATGTTCGTGGTAGGCTTGAATTAATGAAATCGGAGCAAATTGTAAACATTTAAAGGCAAATTGGATGGTTCCACCCACCCAATTGGACTTCCAGAGGGTATTAGGGACCATGGTACACATTTCGGCAGTTTTTATTTTCGGGCGAAAAAAAATCAAAAAATTTCAAAATTAAAGGCTAATATCCACGCTTTTGAGAAAATTTTGAGGTTTTCGGGCACTGTGTAGAAAAGTATTAATATTTTAGGGGATACATCTCGGGGTCATATAATGCCGTTTGGAACCATATATGATCATCATATGTTAAATGTTCGTAATGAGCTTGAGTTAATGAAATTCGTGCAAGTTGTAAACCGGTAATTAAATTGGTCATTTAAAGGCAAATTAGATGGTTCCACCAACCCAATTGGACTCCCAAAGGATATTAGGGACCATGGTAAAAATTTCGGCAATTTTTATTTTCGGGCGAAAAAAAAATTCAAAAAACTACAAAATTGAACACTAATTATCCACAGTTTTTGAGAAATTTTAAAGGTTTTGGGGCCCGGTGTCGAAAAGTCTTGAAATTTTAAGCTAAGGGATACATCTCGGGGTCAGATAATGTTGTTTGGAACCATATATAATCATTATTTGTTGTCATAAATGTTCGTGGTAGGCTTGAGTTAATGAAATCGGTGCAAGTTGTAAACCGAAAATTGGTTGTTTAAAGACAAATTGGATGGTTCCACCAACCCAATGGGACACCCGGACGGTATTAGGGTCTATGGTAAACATTTCGACAAATTTTATTTCCTGGCGAAAAAAAGGTCAAAATTTTCAAAATTGAAGGCTAATATCCACGCTTTTTGAAAATTTTGGATGTTTCGAGGCCCCGGTGTCAAAGAGTCTTGAAATTCTAGGGGATATATCTCAGGGTTATTTAACGCCGTTTGGAACCATATATGATCATTATTTGTTGTTAAAAATGTTCGTGGTAGGCTTGAGTTAATAAGATCAATGCAAATTATAAATCGGTAAATAGGCCGTTTAAAGACAAATTCGATGGTTCCACCCACACAATTGGACTCGCAAAGGGTATTAGGGACCATGGTAAACATTTCAGCAATTATTATTTCCGGGCAAACAGAAGTCTAAAAATTCCAAAGTTAAAGGCTAATATCCACGCTTTTTGAGAAATTTTGGAGGTTTCGGTGCCCGATATCGAAAGCTTTAAAATTTTAGAATACATCTCGGGGTCAAATAATGTCGTTTGGAACCATATATGATCACTATTTGTTGTCATAAATGTTCGTGGTAGGCTTGAGTTAATGAAATCGGTTCAAGTTGTAAACCGGTAAATTGGTCGTTAAAGGCAAATTGGATGGTTCCACCCACCTAATTGGACTACCGGAGGGTATTATGGATCGTGGTAAAAATTTCGACAATTTTTATTTTTTTGGCCAAAAGAAGTAAAAAATTTCCAAAATTGAAGGCTAATGTCCACGTTTTTTTAGAAATTTTGGAGGTTTCGGGGCTTGATGTTGCAATATGGCCAATATCTTGAGAATTTAAGGAATACATCTGGGGGTCATATAATTCCGTTTGAAACCATATATGATCATTATATGTTTTCATAGATGTTAGTGGTAGGCTTGAGTTAATGAAATCGGTGCACGTTGTAAACCGATAACTTGGCCATTTAAAGGCAAATTGGATGGTTCCACCTACCCAATTGGACTCGCAGAGGGTATTAGGGACCTTGGTGAACATTTCGATAATTTTTATTTTCGTGCGAAAAAAGTCAAAAAATTCCAAAATTAAAGGCTAATATCCACGCTTTTTGAGAAATTTTGGAGTCTTCGGGGCCCGGTTTCTAAAAGTATCGAAATTCTAGGGAACACATCTCGGGGTCAAATAATTTCGTTTTGAACCATATGTGAGAATTATTTGTTGTCATAAATGTTCGTAGTAGGCTCGAGTTAATGAAATCAGTGCAAGTTGTAAACCGGTAAATTGCTCGTTTAAAGGCAAATTGGATGGTTCCACCGTACACAATTGGAACCCCAGAGGGTATTAGGGACCATGTTAAACATTTCTGCAATATTTATTTTCAGGCGAAAAAAAAATCAAAAAATTCCTAAATTGAAGGCTAATATCCACGCTTTTTGAAAAATTTCGAAGGTTTCGGCATCAGGTGTCGAAAATAAATGAGATTTTATTAGATGCATTTCGGGGTCAAATAATGAAGTTTGAAACCATAAATGACCATTATATGTTGTCATAAATGTTTGTTGTAGGCTTGAGTTAATAAAATAAGTGCAAGTTGTAAACTGGTAAATTGGCCGTTTATTTGCAGATTGGATGGTTCCAACCACCTAATTGGAATACCAGGGTATTAGGAACTATGGTAAACATTTCGGCAATTTTTATTTTCGCGCTAAAAAAAATTCAAAAAATTTCAAAATTGAAGGCTAATCCATATTTTTTTTAGAAGCTTTTGAGGTTTCTGGCCCGGTGTCGAAAAGCTTTGAGATTTTATGGGATACATCTCGGAGTCATATAATACTTTTTTAAACCTGAAATGATCATTATTTGTTGTTATAAATGTTCGTGGTAGGCTTGAGTTAATGAAATTGGTGCAAGTTATACACCGATAAATTGGTCGTTTAAAGGCAAATTGGATGGTTCCACCCACCCAATTGGATTCTCGGCGGGTATTAGGGACCATTGTAAACATTTCGGCAATAATTATTTCCGGGCGAAAAAAAGTTAAAAAATTCCAAATTGAAATCCATGCTTTTTGAGAAATTTGGGATGTTTCGAGTCCCGGCATTGAAAAGTTTTGAAATTTTAAGGGATACATCACAGGGTCATATAATTCCGTTTGGAACCATATATGATCATTATGTTTTGTTATAAATGTTTGTAGTAGGCTTGAGTTAATTAAATTAATGCAAGTTGTAAACCGGTAAATTGGCCGTTAAAGGCAAATAGGATGGTTCCACGCTTCCACCCACTCAATTGGTCTCCCAGAGGGTATTAGGGACCATGATAAACATTTTGCCAATTTTTATTTTCGGGCGAAAAAAAGTAAAAAAATTCCAAAATTGAAGGCAATATCCATGATTTTTGAGAAATTTCGAAGGTTTTGGGGCTGGTGTCGAAAAGAAATAAGATTTTAAGGGATATATTTCTTGGTCATATAATGACGTTAGGAACCATAAATGATCATTATATGTTGTCATAAATGTTCGTGGTAGGATTGAGTAAATGAAATTGGCGAAAGTTGTTAACCGGTAAATTGGTCGTTTAAAGGCAAATTGGATGGTTCCACCCACCCAATTGGACTCCCAGAGGATATTAGAGACCATGGTAATCATTTCGGCAATTTTTATTTTCGGGCGAAAATAAGTCAAAAAATTCTAAAATTGAAGTCTATATCCACGCTTTTTGAGAATTTTTGGAGTCTATGGGACCCTGTGGCGAAAAGTTTTGAAATTCTAGGGAATACATCTTGGGGTCATATA